GGTTGAGCATGAGGCAGCAATGTGCCCTTGTGGCCAAGAAGGCCAAGGGTCTCCTGGGCCGCGTTAGGCGGAGCGTTGCCAGCAGGTGGAGGGAGGTGATCCTGCCCCTCTCCTCAGCCCTGGGGAGGCCTCACCTGGAGTACTGTGTGCAGTTCTGGGCTCTCCAGTCCAAGAGAGACATGGCACTACTGGAGAGAGTCTGGTTGGAGGGCTACAAAGAGGATGAGGGGACTGAAGCATGTCTCCTCTGAGGAAAGGCTGCGAGAGCTGGACCTGTTCAGCCTGGGGAAGAGAAGACTGAGAGGCGATTTCATCCCTGTGTACCAGTATCTGAAGGGGGGGAGTGTCAAGAGGATAGAGCTAGTCTCTTCTCTGTGGTGCCCAGCAACAGGACAAGAGGCAGCGGGCACCAACTGAACCACAGGAAGTGCCACCTAAACCTGGGAAAAAACTTCTTCACTGTGAGGGTGACTGAGCATTGGAACAGGTTGCCCAGAGAGGCGGTGGAGTCTCCTTCGCTGGAGATATTCAAAACCCGCCTGGATGTGATCCTGGGAAATATGCTCTAGAGGACCCTGCTGGAGCAGGGAGGTTGGACTAGATGATCTCCAGAGGTCCCTTCCAACCTAAACGATTCTGTGATTTTGGAAAATCTTTCCGTTAGTACTACAACATCAGTACTAACAAGGCAAGAATTGCACACTGCCAAGCAGAAAGTCACTCAAGGCCACATGAGATCACTACACACTTGCAAACTGTCCCCTTGCAGCTTTTGTCTGAAGAGCCTACAGACAAGATTATCTAAAGGACCTTACACTCTGATGGGATTCCTGGTCCTGCACCTCAAGTTCAAGATTTTGGTTTTGTCCTCAGTGTTTGCTAACAGTTCTGCGCTGTGCTTTCCAGTTACACATTTTAAAGTGAATCTTACTCTCCTCACTGAGGATCAAAAATACTAAGGCATTGTGATGCATAGCAAATATCTAAAAAGATAAATAGTTCTCAAGTGTTGAAATTTCAGAAGCAATGTCAAGTCATATTAGTATAGTCTGAAATCACACCCTAATTCAGTCAGGGAGTCAAATTTGCAGTTAATGCCTTCAGCAGCAGAAACAACTCAGTAGGAAGGAAACCCCAACTGACAAGACTCCATCAGCAACGTTTCCATGTGGGGAAGGTTTTGCTACCTTCCTCCTGTCCAAAGGAGGTGGGGCAGAAGCTGGTGGGGCTGGTTAGTAGGGCAGAGCTGCATAGCACAAAGGCTTGCAAGTTCTTCCTGAAGAGAGCAGAGTTTGCAGATGAGAAAAAAAGATGGTATCAAGGAGACAAGAAAGAGGAGACTACGAGGTGGGCACAGCCAGGGAATCTGGGACATCTTCCAGTTCGGTCAGGAAAAGCTTTGCTGCACAGCCAGAGTGTGGACTACGGGAAGGAAGACCTAGAAGGCAGGTATCAGGTTGTCTTTCCAGGTGTCCTAGTCCTCCATCAGAAGTGCTCTGCACAAGTGACAGCAAGTAATTTAGCTGTCAAATGCAGTTTTTCTGGAGCATTTCCCCCTCTTGATTTCCTGAAGCTTAAGCTGCACTGACAGTATCTGCTGGGAAGCTCTTTGCACAGCCTTCAAGAACACCCACCTACCACACAGCCTCACAGGCAAAGGCACTGAACAGGTACTTTCACTTGGACCTTTTCAGAGGGGCAAGACAAGCAAAAAGTCAAGTCAGGGCAGGGGGCTGACTTGCTGCTACCATGGTCTGTTTCTCTGAGAGATAATTCTTGGCAGAGTTAATACCAAACCTTAAGCATAAGCCCAGACTGAAATTTGTGTGCATTAGAGAGCTACACAAGGTCTGCACTTGTGAAAACACATAGCTATTTTCCCAGGGAAGCAATATGGAATTTGTTTAAAAAAAATTTGGGAAAGAATCAAGGTGCTCAAGGAAAGTCCTTTAACTTGGGAGGGAGTAGCCACAGACTGGGCAAAATATAAGACTGTGCTGTGGCGGAAAAGGAAAACTCCGGAGAAAGTCTGGTCCCTACTACAAGATAGTTTCTTCACTTGGCAATCTCTCCCATGTTTCCTTTACAGGATTCAATTCTTACCATTACACTTGAGAAACAATAAAGTGGGGAGGGGAGTCAGGCGTGCTTCCCTCAATTCAAGAGGCTCATCACACCATGCAGTTGCTTTTGTTATTTTCTTAAGCATCATATTCCTTACCCTATTCTCAACTCAACCCCTGTAAGGGCCCATCAGGTTACTGAGGCTGGGCCCTGGCTCTTGCAAGCAAGGCTGTGAAAGTCCTCTTTAGAAACTCAAAATTTTAATTCATTCTTAAAGCTCCTCCTTGTATTCCTTATGGGCAGTCCAGTTCACACAGTCTCAGTCCTCTACTTGGTAGGACACTTTTGCTAGTTTTCAGCTTAAAAGGTGTTCATGGCTAGTTTATACCAAGTTATTCTGGTACAAATATCACCCTGTACTTTAAATAGAGCTTTTCCCCTCCCTGGCACCTCTCTCTGCTCTATTTATTCTTCCTTACCCTTTGGCTTATTAGGGTTAAACAAACTGTTTCTCTTGTCTTCACCTGGATTTGTATCAGGCTTCCTACAGCAAAAGTCTTGAAGTCAGATGCTAACAAGATGGGAGAGAGGAAAGTTAACAGCCGAGACAAACAACAGTGGAACAGAGCATCAAAAATACCTTGAAGAAACAAACAAATCAGTAGCATTTAACCCCTTTTCTCCTGAGGCCACACTGGGCTTTACACTACTGATAAAAAAGGCTGTATCACAGACCTAGTAATTGGCAGCTTTCAATCAGAGGAAGGGCAGTATTGCCAAGCTAATGTTATGCCAGAAGTAGTTATTTTCAGCATCCAGAAAATAACTAAAGGCACTGACTGAAGTCCATCCAGTGCACATAGACAGTCCTCTTGCTTTGGTTAACCGTTAGAGTTTTAATTAAGATACTTTCCTCTTTCATGAAAAGATGTGGAGAGAAAGTTAGATACAATATCTGTATTCCCACTAATATAGGAATATGAGTGTATTGCCACGTGGGAGCCAGATCATCTGATACCAAAACCAATCTAAGCTTTACTTCAAGTCACCTGGAGAAGACTGTACCTGTAACTAGCCTTCAAAAAGCACCTACTTTTCACTGTGCAATACTCATCTCAAGAATACTGAGTAGTGATTTTTCACTTGGGAACTCTCCACTCCTTCTACTGAGCAGGCTCACTGTTTAGGGCTATTTTATTGTTTTTGAGGATGAAGGTTAACTATTTTAGCAGACTGGGATTGAGGAATCACAAAACTTGTTTGGAGAAGGGATTTTTGACACAAGCAGAATGCTGGGACCTGGCAGGCTTGAGGAAAAGCTATACTTTACTGCAAAAGCGAACAACAGGTCTCTGGAAGGTCTTTGCATACCTTGGCATTCCATATTAAATTGTTCACCTCAGATCAAGTTGCCTGATTAGGTTTACTGTTAACATCTGTCTCTTACACAAATTCCTTGGGGGAGATAGGATGAACAAAGCAAGCTTTTCAGAGACTTTACAGTCAGACTTCCTAAAGCAACACTGATGAGTAGAATGGAAGGGCAAGATGTTGCCATCCCAAGTAAAGAAACTATCCAGAACCTCATCTCGAGGAAGAAAGATACAAGCAGTCCATTTCAAACTTTAGATCAGCCAGATGCGTGACACCTTCTGGCATCCAGCATCAATGTAGTATCAAGAGAGACAAGCTGTAGGAACCCAACGGAGGCCCTGTACGCAGTATAAAGGCCTTACAGCTCCATTTCAATTTCTAGACAGTTTGGATATATTGGATATATTTCAATATATCGGATATATTTCAACATATCCAATTTAAGTATTTTCATCACTATTCCTTTCACCTCTCATACCTGCCCTAATTCTTTGTATGGCGGCAGCAGCAGCTAGGAATTCTGGTATGTGGGTGTAGGTTCCACTGGGTTAAGTCTTACCAAGACACAGCACTTGCTCTGAGGCGCTCACAGTCTATATAAAGGGGAGAAAATCTTTTGTACAGCAATCCGGAAGAGCAGGTCATGCTGGAGACTGAAGTAAAAGGGGTCAGATGATATTACTAGACACGCTGCAGCTGGGAAGCCTCCCCTCTCTTCAGTTTCTATTCCCAGTTTGATTTGGGCATCTAACCACAGTGATTTCTCACTGACCAAAGCTAAAATATGAGGCCACCAGAAAAACACATTGACCAACTCTGTTCACTTAAAATCGATAAAAGATAGGGCATGGTCTCAAGTAAAGGGTTATATTAGGATTGAAGCTCTAGATTTTTCTGAAATATAGTATGGGCAGAGGGAAGTTTGTCTTTAAACTCATGCATTGAACTGAACACATAAGTTGGAGGCCCGTGTACCCACAGCGCACACGAACATTCCTGTGCCTTGCTCGGTTAAAAAGTTAAAATTTAATGCTTTATGCATGTTTTAAAGAATGCATTTTAAGATTCAACTCAGCTGCTCTAGTTTCAAATCTGCATCAAACATGCAGGTAGGAGGAGCCCTATTTTTGGAACTCACTTGAAGGCAACACAGACTGCAAGAATTCCATTGGGAAAGCTGCTGTCATATTTAAACAAATTTGACAAACCTCAGAAAGCATGAGTCCCCACATCCAAGCAAAGACAGAAAGGCAAAGGCAGAAAGGCAGATCTAGAGTGAGAATTGCCTTATCCTCTATAATCTCCATCTCCTCAGGCCCTAGCCTAGAAACTAACACTGAATTCAGTCTGTAATACACCTTTTCTGCAGCAGTTACTCTCCCTCCCTTCTCTATTTCATAAAAACAGAGTACTACGCAGCAAAGAAATACAGTGTTAACATAGTTCCCATCCTTCTGATGCTTGATGTGTTCTTCTTCAGAGCTCTTAACTACAGAGTGAAAGATTTCTACAGTCAGAAGAAAAAGCAAATATACCCATCAAAACACTGACAGCAAGCTTACCTGGGCTCCTCTAGAGTAGGATCTGAAAATGGTGCAAAATCTTCCTTGCCCTGATGTGTCCCTGTAAAAAAGAAAATTTAAGTTACAGCTATGAACTCCAAATACCATACCACATACCTCCTGTTGGACTAAAAACCAAACAATGCTGACCTCGATAGACCTTGGGAACATGCATGATACCAGAACTGCTCTGCAAGGTATATTCCTTGCAGAAGGAATCCCTGAAGATATTCCTTGGGTGCATTGCCACTTTTGGTTTAATCTGTTGCACCCCAGAGTTCCTCCCTGTCATCATATTTCCTGTGGAGCAGGCACAAAACAAGATCGCTCAGCCTCAGCACTACCTTAGGATGTACTAAGATGCAAGTTATTTTATTTCCTTGGACAAAGGATCTTCTCTAGTTCTCTATAGTCCACTGGCAGTTCAAAAAAATCAGTTCAAAAAAAAAAAAATTACAAGTCTTTCCTAGTCATAGTTAAATGCTAACCTATCATAAAGTGAACATAATAATTGAAGACGGGAAACAATTTTCTTGCGTTAGCTAGTTTCACTTGCTTTTCCAAACAAGTTTTAACTAAATACGAAGTGTCTTTATACCTAAACCTCCTTGGCAGACCTAGTCTAGCATACCCTACAGAGCTCAGGAGCAGTACTAGGGAAGTACTGCACACTGGGACAACAAGGAACTTTACAAAAACTAACCTTTGTCCTAACTGCCACTCTTGACACAGTATAAGTAAGCTTGATTACTTTACCAGCATTTCTCAGTGCCTGTGGGAACATCTGGGGCAGTAAGTCAGAGCACAGCGTACTGATCTGAGCAGTATACTGATATGTAATCCAAAGTCAGGTTAATCTGCGAAAGTGTTATGATGTTTGCTGTGTCCATTTGATTCTGGCCCAGTAAAGACGCGTTAATAGCCACTGAGAAGGTTGGTCAATCCTACAGACAGATTTGCATCAGCTATATGAAAAACACAGTGATCACAAGTTTCAGAATAGCCCTGCTTTCAGATCTAAAGTTTTCAATGGCCATATTATTTATTGGTCCTAAATTTCAATCTAACAGTCTGTGCTCATATCCTCTCTTCCCCCTAACAAAAAAGTAAAGCAACGTTAACAGAGTAATCATTAAGTAAAATGCAATCATTAAGGCACCGTAAAATGATGTCGTAAGCATTTCAGGGAAGGTTATGTGCAGGTTCTGCAACTTAAGTAATACAGTACAAAAAGAACAGGGCTTCAAGAGGGAAGCAAGAAGTGACTACCCACAGAGTTGAACCATTAAAATGGGCATCTTACAAGAGAAACAAAAGAATATGATAAGAACTACATAGAAAGATACAAGCTAGAAGAGGTAGATTAGCCATTTCTGTTATTTCATAATAAAAATGAGGACATTCAACTGAAAAAGTAGGGGTATAATTAAACCACGAGTCTGTACACTGCCGACATCAGTCACAGAGGCCAAGAACATGGTGTTCATTCACTGTTTAACAACTCATACAAATATTCCAGTTGATACTAGGGTTGAAGAGGAAATTTAACTTCATGTTCAAGGGCCTGTGTCACCCCCTACTAGATCAGGGTTAAATTTAGAATAGGATCCAGCTATCTCTCCTCTCTCATCTACAGGATTCTTGTGATAGGTTCTCAGCAGTTTAAACCACAGACAGAAAGCTGGACCAGAAGGACACTGGGTCTCCTGCATCTGCCAGCATGGGGAGGAGGAGTCAGCATTCACCTGAAGCATCTCCATCCCAGCATCAGGTCACTCCAGTAAATCCTGCTCTCCAGAGATTTACTGCAGTCTGTGACACTGTGAGGTCAATTCATTGCGCTGCTCATGTTAGATTTTTCTACTCAAGTCATTGAGAAATATCCAGGCTTCTGTAGGGACAAACAAATGGCTTCACACGCTTTTCTCCTCCTTTCCTATTCTCTGTTATATATTTCTCTTCCTAGGTGATAAGAGGAGTCCAGTACTACTGCCAGAACAGTACAGCTTCCCTAGTGATTGAGAGGTGTATGAGAATACAATCAGTTATAAGGGAGAAAGACTGAAATAGTACCATTTTGGCAAAGAGGGCAGCATGCCACTTGTGCTACTCATTAATAGAAGGTCTGATTTGCTAGAATAACTCACTGAGGGAAAAAAAGCTAATAAGCCTCACCACATGACCAGGGGATGCTCTGCGTTCTCCACAGTTCAGTACAGTATCACACTAGCAATACTCCTCTGATCACTGATGCTGGTCCTACATTGAATACAATTTAAAAACAAACTCACCAGAGTTCCAGCTTGACCCTTCTGCCATCCAGCAAGATGGTAGTGGTCTTGTAGTCAATTCCTGAAAGGAAACCAACAAAAAGCTGAGCAAACACTGAGAAGGTCTTCAGAGACTGACAAGAAATCGGCTTTGCCCACCTAGACCCACCATTAACGTTTACAGAAAACATGTTTTTCTCCCTCTTGCTCTACTGCAAGTTTCTAGAGAACTGATACAGAGTCTTGATAAAAGAGAAATAGAACTCTGCTTCGAAATAAAGACCACTCTTGTGGAGCTCTTTCCCGCTTCCATGAAAACATAATTAATCCCTAGATTGCCTCCTACTTTTCCAGTCTTGGATAAAGCCTGTTAAGACCCTATGTCTAGAAGGGTCACTGGTTTGTAGCACTATCCAAAGCGACAGCATTAAGTTACAGACTTTTGAGGGATTAGCTAGAGAGATGAAAAATGTAGAAATTTCTCTGATAAGTTAGTCTGCAAACCAAGCATCTTTGAATGAATATCACCTCCCGAAACATTCAAAGGACATTTTGAGAGGTGGTGACACTGAAAGCCTGCAGAGTATATGATTTCTTCTTTCCAACTATGGGACAGGAAAGAAAAGGAGAACTCTTACAAGGAATGCTCAACTGCTATACTTGTTAAGAGAAAACAAAAAAACACACACACCAAAAAAAAAAAAAAAAAAAAATCAGGTTTACTTCACTAAAGAGATCCCAGACTTGGTGGTAAAGCAGCACAGATTCAAATTTCACTAAGTTTTAGAAGAACAATAGCTTCCTATATATCACATGCGCTAATTCTCTAGGATTCTGCAACACGTGACAACACGTACTGCAGAACTACACAGCCCGCTGTCAGCATGAGAATGAAGTTCCAAACAGCAGAGAGGAGTGAGCCCAGAAACTCCCTTTGCTATGTGCTCTATCAAGTCAGGGGCATGGTCCATTACCTCCCAGGTCATTTCTTTCCCT